TATGTGTGTATGTGTGTGTATATATATATATATATATATATATATATATATACACACACATACATACACACACACACACACACACACACACACACACACACAAATCACCATTCAAAAATGTCAGTAAATTCAGTACATTTATAGTATTTGTAATATTTTTAATTATCATGTGACACTGAACACTGGAGTAATGGCTGCTGAAAATGTAGCTTTGCTATCACAGCAAAAAAAAAAAGTGAATGTTAATGTGAAATATATTAAAAACAAAACGAGTTATTTTTGGTCAAATAAAGACCAAATAGTAATAGAACCATACTTAGTCTTAGACATTGATGTATTACCAGTTGAGCTAATATAAAGTTCATCTAAAGTTGTATAGATATCTATAAAAAAATGTAATATATTCATATTAATTGTACAAAACACAAACCATACAGTGGTAAAAACCTTACAATGTTATTTCAGAGAGCTCTAGTGTCGTATCTGTTTGGTTCCGCTGGCATCTTTTTCGCAGGTTCCTGGATATTCCACAAATCTAATACAAAAGGAGCCAATGAAACCCACATGAGGGAAGCTGAACCTTGCAAGAGGTGCAGCCTGATTGAGTTTACTCCTTCCTGCTTGTCATTGGAGCCTCCCAGCTAATTCAATTTCCTGGGAGCAGCAGACATGCTGTTCTAACAGGCCATTCACTTAGGGCTATTACAGTCCCATCCTGCACCCTGCCATTCATCATACACTGATTGGACAGCCGAGTCAGAGAGAAAGAAACAGGAAAGAAGGGTAAATGAAGTAATCATCTCAGAAATGCCACCATACTCTGGACTTGTGGAATTTCTGAACAAATGCCATTTTGAAATGTTTCATGGCCTTTTTCTAATGTCCTTCTTTTTTCAAATATAATCAGGTGATTTGAGGAGACCTCTACATAAGTACACAAACAGTAATCCAAACAAAAACAAGGAATCATTCAGACCACGAGATTCAATGCATTACCAAAATGAAACTGACATTTAGTAACTATATTTCTAAATGTAATTTGGATCATATTTTTATTTTACCTTTTTTTGTGTAAATTTTTCGAGGATGAGGTTGCATCATGCAACCTGTTCATGTTCTACCAAGTCTAACTGTGTCTCCAAACAACATATAATAGTGGTATTTCCTGAATGAGTGTTTTTGAACAAATCTGTTGAGTGAATGATTCAATGACTCACTCATAAAGTCACTTGTTTCGTTCAAGAGTTTTGAATGAATCAGATGAGAATGACTTGCTAACTCAGACAGTCACTTGTTGCCATCTACTGGAGAAACGATGCAACTAGCAGAAAAAGTCACAGAAAAATCCTCAAGACTAATACACAGACTGACAGTCTGACTGGAATGTGTAAAAACAGAGAAGTGGAGTCTGTGCAGTATAGTACGGATTACGGAATTAGGAAGTACATCTTAAATCTGTTAAAACTTGCTTGATCAGAGCAAAATGAATGAGGATGAAATGGAGAGTTGAGACAGATACAAAGATACAGAACGCAGACAACGAAGCAGAGGTTCATGGCTACTGGTATAAACATACTGCTGTAGCTGGTTGGTTGTAATTAAATAATACATTTCCATCAATTAACATTTAAGCTGGAGAGCTCTGAAAAGGAAATTATGATGCTTTGAAGTTGTATCATTCTTGACCACCTTAATTTAAAAATATTAATATGAACTGCTAAATATTCACAGCACATGAAGAACATTTAACACAGGGTCACCAAATTAAAACAGACAGTTTAATCAAAGATAGATACTTCTGAATTAGAAAAAAAAATGAACCGAAAGAAAAAAGTACTAGCAATATCCACACAATGAGTTTCTTGGTTGAGGGTGCAAATAAGTGCTGCTGACGATACATGGGTACCAACCATGGCGTTCAAGAGCACAAGGTGAACCTATTTTTAAAACCCTGCAATTATTTTTAATTGCAGAAAAAACATTCCAGGGGCTCGGTTTGGAACTGACACACTATATTCCCTCCATCCTGTAGAAAAGAGCTATTTTTAGCTGTAAAGTTAATCACTGAGGCTGCGGAGCTGTTATTCATCACTGTTTCACACTTCAGCAGTATGAGGATTCACTCAGGTATTTCACACGCTAGAAACTTTTTTCTGTGATCTGTGAAAAAACTAAACGTCTGGTCTGGAGAACCATCAGTCAATGTCATTACCAGAAAAAAACTTTCTCTTTCAGTAGTTTCACCAAACCCTAGTAGAGGAAAGACCAGCATGCAGTATTTTTAAGCATATACATTACTATTCAAAAGTTTGGGGTCGGTAAGATTTTTTTAAAAGAAATTAATACTTTAGTTCAGCAAGGATGCATTAATTTGATCAAAGTGACATAAAAAATATATAATGGTGCAAAAATTACCATTTCATATATTAAGCAGTAGAACTGTTTTCAACATTGATATTAATAAGTAATTTCTGAATTTGTAAAATATATTAAATTAGAAAACAGTTATTTTAAATTGTATAGTAATAATATTTCACAATATAATCATACAAATGCAGCCCCTGCTGAGCACAATCATGAAAAAATCTTACTGATCCCAAAATGGGATATGTTTAGAATTATTTCATATACAAATGCTTATGATTATTATTTTTTCTTAAGATTTTGTAAATCCCTCATTGTCTGTCAGTGACACAAAATCCCTGTTCCAGTAATAAAATGTTTTGCGTATGCATGCGAACATGTGTCTTTAGTCTTTGTGCGTTACGTGTCCGGTCTGAAGCCGGAACTCCTTTGCATTGTCCATGTTCTAGTAAATGTGTGTCAGGTTATGGACACCAGGCCGAGGGATTAAGGTCCCAGGAGGACACACCTAAACCTCAGCGTGTTCTTATAGTGACATTTAGCAGGTCAAGACCCTGCTCAGCAGTCCCGCTGAAAGATTGACCTGGATTCAGTCAACATCAGTCCGGACTCATCTGGTATTTAAACGTGCAAAACATGGTGAGAGGCCTATGGCTAGTATTAGTAGGATGTTTGACAAGCATGACTGGATGAAATGAGAAAAACACAAATGAATGAATCATAGAAGATTTAGGATAAACAAGATAAAAAAGATGGAAGGTTACTGGACTAAAAATTACTTATATTGGTCAGGCAGTCACACAGAGGAAAGCCTGATGAATCTAGAATTGAATTTCAACCAGCTCCTATTACCACCATAAAAATGTCTTCCTCAAATTTTAGATTAGTGTCAAGCAATGTAGCATTCTTAAAATTGTTACCTATATTCCCAAAAATTTACTATTTAGACACTACTCTTCAAAAGTTTGGTGTCAGATTTAAAAAAAAATGTTTTTGCAAGAAGTCTCAGTACATTACAGTACAGTAATATTGTGAAATATTATTACATTTAAAATAACTGGTAAATGGTATCAAAAAATTCTAAAATAACCTAATAGGCTACGTTCACACTGTCAATTTCTGGGATTGACAACCACATTTACTTACAGGTGTGAGTCTTGAAATGTCACGTTCACACACCAACTTACAGTAGCTTCTCCGATTCTGTCTGTATGAACGTGCAACAGAAGTCAAGCCCGTATTCCTTGCCAGTTACCATAGCGACAGTGACCAAAGTTGACCAAAGATGGCGACGTCCATAAAACTGAAAGTCTTATCACTTTCTGACACGACAAGAGTCCGATTGAGTCGCAAGTTTATCAAGTTCATGCGGTTGTGAGTCATACAGGACTGACAACCGTATTCTGCTGCTGTGTGAACGTGGCCATAATCAGGTGGGTGAAACCCCACATACAACCCACTTTACAAAGTTTGTGTTCATGATCACAGTGCTAAATTCCAGTATGGAATGTAGTTATCATATCATACCTGTGATAAGTTCCCGAACTTCCATGTCATTGGTTTTCCTCAGCAGACGTATGAGAGCAGGAATCCCATCACAGCTCTTGATGGCCACCTTGTTATCGTGGTCCTTGCCGTAGGAGATGTTTCTCAAAGCTCCGCAGGACTTGCGATGGACTTCTGCTTTAGGGTGATCCAGCAAGCCCACCAGCACTGGGATCCCCTTCAGCTGCCTAACATCTTTCTTTATCTTGTCGTTTTCATAGCAGAGATGCTGCAAGTAGGCAGCTGCATTGGATTTGACTGGATCGATGGGGTGGCCTAGCATGGCGATGACCTCAGGCAGGTCGGGGTCCCTCCAGCGCGGGTCTTTGCGGATGCTGTCAATCGAGGGGGAGCGTCGGCCGCCCATACGGTCTAGACTGGCCAAGCTGCCCCTCTCGGGCTGTGCAAGAGGTGCTGGGTACATGCCATGGATGTAGGGGTGTCTTTCATCGATTAATTCAGCCTCTATGGGGTCCTCGTAGCCTCTGTAACCAAACGAAGAAAAACACCAAGAGATTTTAAAGAGGTTTATCAGTCATCCAACGGTATTAACACCACACAAAGAGCAGGAAAGAGTGAAAAACTCTATATTTGAGATATGCCATGTTTTAGAATTCTTCAGAAAAGAAAGTTGGCTATAGTCATGCACAGTATGATTTCTTTATATGATTTTAATCTTGTTGTTTTTCTATAAATAATTGCTTATATTCACCATAACCAACAATTCCTATCTCAAAAGAAAAATAAGATGAGTTCAAAATATGTAAGATGGGGTAAAAAGACTAAGTAAAACAGAGACAGAGAAAAAGGTGATTGCTTTAGTTATTAACTATGGTGTCAAAGAATCCACAGAAAAACTTCTGCCATTTCCCTATTAATTGTGTCTGTCAGGACACAGTGATGTTCTCTCTTTCTTTAATTAAAGATGGATGGGATGGGATACAGCATGAGGGGAAAACAGAGAGGCCGCATGGCCCAGAGCAAATATAGAACAGACTGGAAACAAAGAGAGAGAGAGAAAGAGAGACAGATGGATAGGAATCGATGGATGGCTTCCCTACTATGATGAGTAATCTGAACAGAGGACAGCGTAGTACAACATCACTCCCACTGGGACAATCCCAGCTCTAGACTTTTCTGAGTCACAAGCAAGCAATCAATATATTGGGACAGGAAATTAAATAATCATAATTGTAAATGGACATTGATAATGCTTTGCAAATTTAGAGTTGAAATAAATCCGAATTTTTTCATACTTTTTTTAGTTCACATTTTTCACATTCGGTAGCACAATTCCTGTTTAGGCTGCTACTGCTACTCTGCTGTCTTAGAAAGTGTAAATTAACCTTTTCATTGTATACTTCTCCACATTTGCAGAGAAAAGACATAAAAGTCCAAAGTAGATGGGAAAAAAAGCTATAACACAACATGGAAAAACCATTAAGCCAACCGAAGAGCCCAATACACTGAAAATACAGTTTACAAACAAATGCTGCAGTGGGAACTTTTCCTGGAACTTCAGGAACCCTGGAAATTAGCCGTTATATCACTTCATTAAAACTGAGCTGAAACTGACCAAAAAGTGCTGTTTGTGGTGTTCAAACATATAATTTCCAAAAGACTAATCCACTGCTCCACAGACGGTAGCAAGAGATTTGCATTTCTCTAAGGCATCCCACAAACCCTGAAGTGGCAATGGCTGATTTTAACTTCTAAAGTGAAACAGTGGTTTTAATAAAAGAAACTGATACACGCATCATCACTGTAATACCATATGGATTATTTATGGCAACCTATACTAACATTGAACATTCTGCGTGTGTTCATACTGCAGGTGGCTGGAGGCTCTCATGAGCCCGTGATATTTTACTCTAACAGTTCTTGTCCTCTACAGCGTAGAAGTTGGAAATAACATGTCTGGGGATGTGCTGTACACATCAGGGAGGTTACATCAATCTCAGATAGGAGTCTCAGCATGCTTCATTATCAGTGTGAACAAAACAGAGATGTCCCTGTGGTGGTACTTCTAATCTGGCAAAGAAATATTAAACCCCTGTGCCACACACTCACCATCACTCTTTCTTTCTCTCTCTCCATTTCCAGCTCATTTTCTGTCCTCATCTCACTCTAGGTGGGAAAAACAAGGTGTACCAGAAATTCAGAGCACTAGGGACCAAACGTGCAAATAAAAAGCCACCACTATAATCTGACAGCATTCATGAATGCATAGAGGAAATGTTTAGATATTAATCTTTTGCTAATTCTTTCTTTTCGTTTGTAGTCTGAACAGCAAGAAAAAAAAACACACTTAAATTTTTTTAAGTGATGAAATCTGATCTCATATATATATGAATTTCGGTGCCGGTACCCAACGGTACCTTTTTTCAGTACTTTACTCTCTGTGTAATTACAAAAACATTTATATAATAAATATAAATTTGATAGAAAATTGAAGATTTAAAGATGTACATTATACTGTACACATGTAATACAAGAGTAATATATTTCTGTTACGTTACGTTTCTGAACGTTCTACTGTTATGTTAAACCACACTTTTATTTTGACAGGTTGCCATGAAGTTTCTGTGTATACACAGTATGATGATGCTAGTTTTCTCAAATTAAACGGTAAAATGATCACGAAGTGACTCTCACAGCAGCCGCGTTTCCGCCATTCATACATACAGAGGCAAGCGGAACATGCAGGATTCACATTTAAACCATCTTTTTGCATTTTAATATTCACAGACTCTAGTTCATATCGTGATTGGAATTAAGTGGCAGTGGCTAATTTTGATTTATGCATCCAAAATTGACGAATTCCGTGGCATTCCACGCTATAGAGTAAATTACGTTTTTTATGAATGGTCTCCACTATCCCGTCCGCTTTTTCGCAGAAACCATATGGCCCTAGAAATGTAACCACACTTCAGAACATTTCGGCTTGCCCTGTGTGTTGTTTGAACGAGTTGCAGGGGTGACATCATGTCACAGGGTCTCTCTTTCTCTCTCTGTAGCGTATATGCGCCCAGATGCGTTCTCAAGTACCGAAATTTGGCACCGATTTATTTAACGTGAATCGGTACTCGGTAGTACCGACGCAATTCGGTCAGTACCCTTACCTTCTGAACTGCTGCTCTGTGGACACTGACTCTTACGTGGAGCAGGTCCAGAACTGTGAGGCGATGAAGGCAATTGGTTTGACTTGATGCTGAGAGCAGCAAGTGCTTGTCCAACTCTATCAGCTGAACACCAAAAAAGATGTTTAAATATTGTAATATTGTACAATATATATACTCATATATATATATATATATATATATATATATATATATATATATATATATGAGATCAGATTTCATCACTTACAAAATGACAGTGCAGAAATGACTGTTGAGAAAAGACTGCAAAAGACTGGATTTGAAAAACAAATCGGATTTACGCACAGTTTGAACAAAGTCTCTGATGTGTGACTTGACAAAATGGGCCACAGCTGAGAATGTTGGCAGTTTTAAGGGGGATGCACTTTTAATGAGAGTTTTATGTTAATTATGTACTGCAACTTTGGAGGTGATCTGAGGGCACATTACAGAGGGAGGAAATCTCAGCAAGCTGTTACATGGCAGAGCTTTAAATGAACAGTGCATACATCTGACATCGTAAAGAGATGATATGGCCATGAAATGGGGCATTAACTCTATGATGGTACATGATGAACACATTATCTGATTAGTCCCAGAGGAAAAAGAGTTTTAAGCACACTAAAGGAACATACTGACAATGACAGAGCAGGGGTATAATATGTTGTCAGATGAGACATCTCTTAGACACGAAGATTGTAGCATTTGCAACTTTTTTGAATAAAAAAAAAATTCAAGGACATTAAGTTGATCAAAAGTAAAATTTATTTTACAGTGTTACAAATCATTTCACCCCACTGTGCAATAAAACGTGCAATCCCCAACTGTCTATACTTATATTTATTATACGCATGTTAGTGACTTAATATATCTTACATCTACCCACATTCCCTTGCATAATTTGTCTATAGCACTCTATAGCATACAATATACTGTTCACTGTCTCTTTATCTATTGTGTATTGTTTTTACATATTTATTTTTACTCAATTATTCTTCTTTTTTGTTATCTGCGTCTTGTCCCTTGTCAACCTGTCTGTGTACTGTAAGCTTCTGTCACCAAGAAAAATTCCTTACGTGTGTGTGTAAGCACACTTAGCAATAAAACTCTTTCTGATTCTATATACAAAAAATGCTGTTCTTCTGAACTTTCATTAAAGAATCGTAAAATGTTTTTTTTTATCATGGTTTCCACAAAAATATTAAGCAGCACAGCTGTTTTCAACATTGATAATAAGAAGAAATGTTTCTTAAGCAGAAAATCAGCATATTAGAATGATTTCTGAAGGATCATGTGACACTGAAGACTGGAGTAATGACCGCTGAAAATTCAGCTTTGCCATCACAGGAATAAATTACATTTTAAAATATTTGAAAATATAAAACCGTTATTTTTAAACTGTAATAACATTTCATAATATTACTATTTTACTATATTATGATCAAATAAATGCAGCCTTGGTGAACATAAGAGAATTTCAAAGTTTGCTTACTTTAAAAGCAATTCTTATTCAGTTTGAAAAATATCTGTTTTCCACTTTCATTTCATGTAGGGTTAATGAAGGTATTTAAAGGGGTCCTATTATGCTCTTTTACAAAGTCTTGATTTTGTTTTGGGGGTGTACTAGAACAGGCTCTCATACCAGGTTGTTCGAAAAACACATTATTTTTCACATATTTTACTACACCTCTCTCCCCAGTCTGGCATGAACGGCTCGAATAGTTCTTGTATCAAATGAAGGCCCGTCTTCTGAAATACGAAATGTGCTGTGATTGGTTAACTGGGCTAGTGTGTGCTGTGATTGGTTAGCTGGGCCAGTGTGTGTTGTGATTGGCAGCACTCGGCGCCTGGTCGGGAAATGTTGTGTCATTCCCCTAACCATAGCAGCCTGCCAGCTTTAGTGTAAATATTGTGTCAAAATCAAACAAATTTGAGCGCGATTTAAACCCGGATGATTGTAACCATTCTAAGTTTGTCTGCCTTGGGAAAGGTAGCGTGTCTCAAAAAAGAGTTTTAAGCACACTAAAGGAACATACTGACAATGACAGAGCAGGGGTATAATATGTTGTCAGATGAGACATCTCTTAGACACGAAGATTGTAGCATTTGCAACTTTTTTTTTTATTTAAAAAAATATTATTCGGCTATCAACCAGGTCTTGTCCCATTCGTCGATATTTGTGATATCACAAATGCCTGAAAATAAAAAAAAATCTGAGGGGCCACGTGCCCCCTCTGTCTGAATGGGCATGACATCTCGGCATGTACATTCAGCCATGGGCATGTCCCCCACAGTTGAAATCACGTTCTGGGAGGAGCGTGTCAGATGAGACATCTCTTAGACAC